GGAGCATAGTGGCTAAGACACTTGCCTGCTAACCAGACGGCTGGCGGTTCAAACCCACCAGCCACTCCTCGGAAGGAAGGTTGGGCAATCCGTAGTGATACTGCCTCGGACACCCAAGGAGGGGTCGCTATGAGTCGGGTTTGACTCGACTGCAAATAACAACAACAAAGCTCACCCAGCTGCTCATTTCACCCTGCAGAAAGTCATGCATTCCCACCTAAACCTGGAGTTGCTGTGTGACCGAGGCTCCAGAACATTCACAGTCCGAAAGTCAGAGGAAGATTCACTAACTTTTCTTTCTAATTTCTATTTTCAGAACTACGCCCAGGCTGAAAGGGTCTAACCTTTCAAACTTCTAAACTCTGCTCCCATTAAGTTCCACGTGGCCTTGAATTAGTACACTGAACCTTGAACTGTCTCAAATACAAATGCCCCTTCCTTTTCTGCGATTCCGCAGTTACTTCGTGAATCCTGACCCCACATCTTCCTAGGGCCTAATTGTTCCAACCTCCCCGGGCTTCCTTCCGGAGGGCTGTATTCCACCGCAGAGGCTGGAACAAGAAACCAGGGGGAGGGAATGAGATGAGAGCGTTTCGCCGTGTACCTGGCCTGGGCTGAAAAGCCACGCCCCGGAACTAGCCTTCGGGGCTTCCTCAGCCGGGAGCTCGACTACTTCAGGCGGCCTCAGGGTGCTGACCTTGGGAAACCTCGTCTAGGCCGCTGCAAGAGTGCCTTGCGGAAGCGAGGCCCTCCGCGAGGGATGGCTTTTGCGTGTGCCGCCAGGGCTCGGCCACAGGGACAATGGCGTTGCCATGGGAACAGAACGCTGCAGCCCCTTACGGAAGTGGAGCGCCTTTGCCCGTAGCCATGGTGACGCAGGGCACTTCTGGGTTGGGGAAGTGCTCTGGCCTCCAGTGACTCTGGCCAACCGGGTCACAAACCGCTCCAGCAGGTTTCCGGTCTCAGAGGGCCTGACGCACGCCATTTGAATCGGACTCGTCCCCTAACTTGCATCGCTGTGTCGCTGATTCTTCTGCTATTGTTTTCCTCAAAGGGATTCTCCGAGATGACAGTGCAGTAGTGGACATATATCCAGTCCAAGGAACGGCCGACTTCGGGGCCCCATCTCCTTAAACCTGCGACGTTTACGGGCTGTATTCATCCACACCCCCTCCACCCCCTCCTCCCGCGCTCTCCTTGGCGTACCCTTCATCCCCACAGTTCCCCAAGTGTTCCGTCCGGCGCCTTGCACCCCAGAGGAAAGGATCCGCTATAACTGTTGATGGTGGGAGGGC